TTCCTTCAGCGCCATCTAGGGGGTGACTTTTTCAACAATTTATTGAAAAAAGTGGTTTTTCATCAAGTGGTCTCTCTTGTTATACTCTTTGGATCAGACGTCTAAATTCATACTAAATTTAATTGGTTTGAGATAACCAGTGAAAAGATAAGGTTAGCCACATTCAACACCATCTTTTGGTCAAAATCATCAACTTACCAACTCAAATAAAGAACGATATTGGAGCTTTCCAGGAGTTCAATCAAGCAATCATTTAAAAATCGTAACTCGGATCGAATGCCAATTCAAATAATCCAGGATAAAGCTCAAGAGAAATATACCAAAGATTGTTCACCGTAAAATTACACAATGTTGAAGATTATGAAGATACATAATGAGGTACGCCAACGGAAATTAATCAACTAAATCAATCTAAACAAATGCCATAAAAAGAAGCAAAAGTAGGGTAGCAAAAACAAAGAATAGGGTACAAGAGACTCCTCGTCAATACTACCGTGTTTCCGCCCATTCTAGCACCGAGCTTATTAAAAAGTAGGTTCACTTTTAAGCCAATTTTTTTTCAATTTAAATGCTCCTGACTCTTAAGTATGAGTTTAAAACCGGTTTTGTGGCAATTTTTAATCTAAGAAATTTTGATAATTTTATCAATTATACTTTGAGATTGATTTTGTTAATCAAGCAACTACCGTTTCCGTTTTATTCACATTAAGTGTGTTTAGCAAGTAAAATGCCTTTTTTACCTATGTTTAAAAAACGGAAATTAAGTCCTATTGAACATGATCTAAGTGAAAACGTTGAAACGTTTAATACTAATTTCCCTAGACCTTCAACAAGTTCGACGATATCAATCGATTTTAGTAAAATTGGTAAACTTCAAGAACAAGAACATGTGCCTCATTCAATATCAACGGTTTCAATAAATTTTGCTGAAAACGGTGACCTTGTGAGCAAGACAATCTGACCCCCTCAATATCAACGGTTCCAATAAATTTTGATGAAAATGGTGAACCTTGTTAGCAAGAAATTATGATCCCCTCAATACCAACGTTTTCATTCAACTTTGATGATAACGGTGAACAATCTGAATCTCACGAACGTTATGATCTGTTATTTTCACAAGAGTCAACTAAGGACGCACAATAATCATTGTCTCAAGAACAAAACTGCATCAACCGTTTAACTAACCGTTCTCCTGATATCGAGACAGACAATTTTTGGTCCGCTTTGCTTGGTGACGATGGATCTTTGGATTCAACGATGGAAGAAAATACCACTTCAAGTGATCAACGTTGCGAATCAGGTTCATCAAAATAGATTCGCAGACGGAAAAGTTACACAGCTCTGGATGATTTGAAGTACGTTTCATTTGTGCATGAAAAACGGTTGAGTCTCACAAAGGCGAGCCACATTGAAAATCTCTAAAAGGAATCTCCAAAGTTGGATAGCCCAAGAAGATACATTGAAAAAGATACGTGATAATCCAGACAACGTTGTAAGATTGCGAAGTAAAATACAAACGGTACAAAACCTAACCTAAAGAATACAAACCTCGACACCCTGAATTTGAAAGCAAACTTTTAGAGCAATTCTGCAAGCGAAGAGATTCAGGTCTTAGAGTAACGTTAAAATTGTTTAGAGAAACTGATGTGAATATTGCTAGAGATTTAGCTATTGAAAATTTCATTGTTTCGAACGGTTATATTTCTAAATTTTTGAGCCGTAACAATATAACGTTGAGAGCTGCTACCTCTGCTGGACAAAAACTTCCAGAAAATGCAAAAACGTTGGCTCTAAATTTCATTAGTAATGTTGAAACAATAAGACAAAAGTTCGTTGGTTCGCATATAATTTATGCAAACATGGACGAGGTACCGGTTTGGATCGACACGCCGTCCAATCATACTTATGAATCACGCGGTCAAAGTTCCGTCAAAATGTCAACAACCGGTCATGAAAAAACAAGATTCACCGTTGTGTTAGCAGCACTTTCTAACGGTGAATTTTTGAAAAATCATGCTTCCAAGTTTGATTCCTTGGATTATATTAAAAAAGTTCTCAAAGGTTCAAACGGTTTAAGAATTTTTTTTTGTCAATTCAAGATTTATAAAAATCATATCCAAAGTGGCAACAGCCATATAAATATAACGATTGTTGTATAAATCGTTTTTTTCCAAAACGTTAAAACACCAGGAGAAATATACTCCATGGTGTAGATAATATAATACCATTGATGTCACTTTTGGGTCTAGTTTAACGTAACTAGCAAGACCAGATAAAAATTTTTCTGTCAAACAACGGTTCAATTCACCCAAAAGGCAACATAAACGTTTGATCGTTAAATCTTCACGGCTAGGTCTTTTTGGCCACGAAATTTTAGATAAACCGTTCCCATTTCAGGCTCCATCAAACACCTAAAGTTGGCCTTACCATCAACAATAAATTCCTTAATCAAATTGACTAAAACGTTCCTCTCAAGACTAACAAGGAATTGTCTGTAAACGTTTTTTATGGCGTCGATATCCGTAGTTGTAGACGAACATTCGTCTTCGACTTTGATGTTAGTCCACGGCTTTAACGGTGTAGGAATGCGATATGCCAAACTTTCAATTTTTGTTCCACTGAACTGGTCAATTTTTATGTCTAAATCGTTTCCATCAGCTTTAACTACAACCGGTATAATGTGATTTTTGTAATTAAAAAATACAGGAATGCCTTCCAATATATTATATCTACCAAACGTTTACCAAAGCCGTTTTAACGTTTGTCAAAAGTTTCATGATTGCCAAATGTTTGCCTTTTGGGTTTGGGCCAGTTTTGTCAGGATGAAATTGACGGCAAAGGTTACTGAAACTGAATAAATGAAAGATGTAAGAATAATCGATTCATGAAAAAACGTTTAAATTAAATTCACTTACCTTCTGTTTGATATAGAAAAATCTCTGGTGTTGAAAAGGTCTAAAAACGTGTAAACCATTTTGAAAAAAACGTTGAAAATCAATGAAACAGGTTTGAAGATAAAAATTTAATTTCAACTTTACTTAATGAGTTAAAAGGACAAAATGACCCATAGTCATTGATTAGATTTAATTTCCTCTTCAAAACGTTTGCATTGATAAGCTTTTTAAGCTTATCACCTTTTTTGTGCAATATTGCTCATTATCTTACAGATTTAGCTTTTTTACTCACTTTTAAGTCACCGGGCTTGTCAATGAGTGTCAACAGTGACTTAAAAGTGAAAATTTTCATTAACAAGCCCGGTGCTAGAATGTGCGGAAACACGGTAATTGTATTACTCTTTGAATACAACCATTTTAATTGAACCGAAAGGTAGCAATAATTGGATTTGCAAGAAAAATAAACAAAACTAAAAGCTAATGTTTTAATCACATCAACATAACTAGATGGTGCTTAAATAATAAATTTAGCTGAAGCAAAGATTAAGCTTTGACAAAGATTGATTTATCATGTGATTTTGTGCTGCTTTTAATCAATGAGCAATTTGTTCTTATTATTTGATAAATATTGGATTTAATCATGTATTTATTTCCTTTGATTCTCGTTAAAGAAGATTGGATAAGAGATTCCCAAGAAATTCTGATCAATTTCGCGATCCCTTGCAATTGAACATGAAAACAACAGAGAAGGTTAGTTATAATAGAATATATTTTCAATGATTGAATCATATCGATAAAATCTTTTTACGTCATTCGATGCATATTTAAGCAAGCAAATTCATTGACTTCAATCTTTAACCATTAATCATTGAGTCAAAACTGTTACCATATTTCAGTATTTCCGATTTCCTAACTATTTGTGTGTGTTATTTGTGTTAAAATGAATTTTTCAATTTTATTAGTCGTTCTATTTTGTTCAATTGTCACCGCTATTCCAACTCCAGGTGAGTTATTATTATATTTGTAAAAACTCTTGATTGCGATTCATAAAGTACTAATGTTTAATCCATTTTTCAGCTCCAAATGATGGACGTTCATTGATTGATCGAGTTGCTGATGAAGGAAAACAAATGTACTCATCCCTTGAAAAACAACATCCAAGTAAGTTATAATTTAAACATAAAAATAGACTTATTTTTTGATAAATTTACATTGTATAATATGTATTAATAATTGAATTGCATTGAATTTTTCTGGTTACTTTGGATATTTTCAGATTTCTTGCCTTACAAAACTATCTTTGATGCAATTGAAGCTGGTAGAGTCGCCAAAAAGTTACCAGGTGTTAATGTGAATAAGGATTACCAAGAAAATGTTCTTGAATTGATTGAGAATTCATTGAAATATGTTTCTTCATCACCAACAAACATTTCATCTGAACAAGTCTACCAATTTGCCAAAAGTTTCATTTCTTTTTTAAAACAAAGATTCCCTGGTAAGTTGAATAACTGTTGAAATCATTGAATATTTTAGAAACTACTGCAAAAATTAATTATTTTCTAATGTAAAAATTTTATTTTCTAGATAATCCAAAGATTTCAGGACTTTCGGATCAACTTGAAGTCGTTCACGATTCAAATCTTTCATATGGCTATGAAAATGGTGCACCTTCAATCAAGAATTTAAATTCACTGCTATGGAAAATTTCAGAGCTTTCATTTTCTCAGTGAAGCCTTTGAAACTTCTGCCTGTCTAATAGTTAGTCATGTACCTGAATATAATCATTAAAATATAATGGTTTCTACCCAATTGTTTGCTCATTCAGAGATCAAGAGTCTGTAAAAAGATAGATCTTATCGGAGTGATTTTCACGTGAAGTGTTTATGAAATTGTTTTCAAATAATGATTGTCCATTGTCCTAAAATAATCAATCGGTAATTATCAATTGGTTTTATCAACAACATTATAACCAATGTTTTAAGGATTCAAAGGTTTTCTTGGTTAATAGGTTTGTTGTCATACATTAAACTGCATTTCTCCACTTGTGATTTTGTGTCTCAATCGAAATGTTTTTAACCGATTATTTTGTCTTTTCTCAACCCTTATACAGCTTAGCAACTGGACTCATATTTTTATTTGAGTTTAATTTTCTTGTAACGACTATCAAAAGATTATTCCGATTACCATCTGGACCATGGGGACTTCCAATCGTTGGTTATTATCCATTCCTAAAAGATGAAAGTTACCTTGAGTTTGATTCTTTATCCAAAAAGTATGGACCAGTCTATAGTTTAAAGTTGGGACAACATGATGTTGTTGTCATTTGTGATTGGGATCATCTTAAGTTAGCGTTTGCTGATGAATCTCTGCTTGATAAGCCACATGAGCTTTTCTTTGAAGGATTGATCAAATATCCGTCTTTTGCTGAGATGTCTGGCGAGCATTGGCGTTCTCATAGACGTTTATCTTTACATGTACTTCGTGATCTTGGTTTTGGTACGAGTAAAATGGAAGAGGCTATAAGTAAAGAAATACAACAATTTTTACCAACCATTAGTGAGGGTAAAGTGGATTTTTTTGAAAAACTATTACCCAGTGTATCAAATAATATATCAATCCTATTGTTCGGTCACAATTTCAAGTATTCGGATCCGTTCAAAGTCGATTTAGATCATAATATGGATCGTGTTAATCGAGCTTTTCAATTTGCTGGTTTGAGTGCATTCTTTCCTTGGTTGTTCAAGTTATCAACTTTCCTTGGGATATTTCGGATGAGTGTAGCTTACAGCCATGTACTCGCTGTTGAAGGTTTACTGCAAAAAGAAATTGATAAACACCAAGCTGAATCTGGTAAAAGTGAAATTGATGATTACATTGATGGCTATTTGGTGGAACAAAAAAATCGTCAAAATAAAGATGAAAATGATCAAGTGTACAGCATGGGAGTTTTAAGGCGTAATTTGACTGCATTTTTCGCTGCTGGGTCTGAGACTGTTACTGCTACATTAGCATGGGCTATGATGTATTTGGTTTATAATCCTGAATATCAAGACAAGATACGAGCTGAAATAGCTGAGGTTATTGGATTTGATCGAGAACCTGTCTATACGGATAGGAATCGAATGCCTTTCACAATGGCTTATCTCAATGAAACTCAACGAATCGGGTCCATTATTGCTGTTAATTTACTTCGTCGAGCCTCAAGAGACACAAAGATTGGTAAATACAATATTCCCAAAGATACTATTGTAATATTCAATTTATGGAGCATTCATCGAGATCCAAAGCTATGGCCTGAACCAGAAAAATTTGATCCCAATCGATTTCTGTCTGAAGATGGTAGCAAAGCTGTTAAATTACCTTACTTGGTCCCCTTTAGTGGAGGTAAAAGGATTTGTCCCGGAGAAGGCCTAGCCAATGTCGAAACATTCTTGTACCTTGTGAATATTTTACAAAAATATCGAGTTCGATGTGATCCAGATGTAAAGTTGTCATTTGAAGCTACATTTGGTGTTTCAAGGCGACCAAAACATTCACCTCCATTAATTTTTGAAAAAATCGGTTAATTTTGGAATTTCATTGCTGTGCTCTTTGTTGCTCTGCTAACCAGACCTAATGGATTCTGAAATTCACCATTGTTACCATCAATAAATTGTCCATGTCTCTTTTAATATTTGTTGTATGTTGAAGAAATGTCTTAATTTCTCTTCTTAGGTTTAAATAAAATCATAATTATAATAACATAATTTTAATAGTTAATAAACAATAACTTTAAGTTTTCATCAATAAGAACTGTTTTGTGCATCAGACAATGTTCATTTTAATAAAAAAATTGTCCAATGTATAATATAAAAAGCTTAAGAATGTATTTTAAATGCCAAATGTACAGCAAAACTCAATAAGCTAAATTTTAAGACTATGAAGTGGCCTGCACGGCCACCTGACCTCAATTTAATGGCAATTAAGGTGGATGTTTGGGGGTGGGTGATTATTATTAGAATCGCTTGACGATTAGATAAAATATAGAATCTCTTTGTGCAAGAAAAGTTTTGTTCTGAAGTGTAGTCAGTAAAAATTGTCTTTTTTTGCAATATTTTATTGTTACCGTCTTAATCTTTATCATCACCCTTTGACTTATTTAGTTTCCCGAGTTGATTTCATTGGAACAGTCATTTGCAACTCTGCTTTTTTAACAAATCCTTTTTTAGCAGTGAATTTAAATCCAGTGAATCCAGCAGCAAACGCCGTTATAAATACTATTGTCCCCAATCCGATTGCTAAAGAGAAGTCATTTGATTTCGTTGATGTTTTCGTTAATGATTCAGTTGTATCAGTTTGTATCGGTGGATCAGCTTCACTCTTTCCTGTAATTTTCTTATGGTTGATGTAAATTGAACAAATTTTGGTTTTGCTTTTTGACTCTTCAAATAGTTCAGAATTATTAACATTATTTGGTTCCAAGTTTGTCAATGAACAACTCGTCAATGAAAATTTTTTATAGTAAATTTGACTATAATCAATTGTTTCGCAAAATTCAAAAGTAAAACAATCAGAATCTGTATTGCATTTGGAAGCACATAAATCTAGTGATAAATGGTCAAAGGTTCTAACAATTGATTCTTTCATATCATCTCTCAATGCAAGTCCAACTTTATGTTCAAATTCAAGTTCAGACTTTTCTGTGAAACCGAAAAAATTGAATAATTAGTAAATATTGACCAGACTTTGAGCAAAGATTAGATTAAATAAATGGTATTTACTTGAATAATGGGAACATCCAGCTTCAGCCTTCTTCCAGTTTGTTGCGTTTATTTGATGAGCTACATCTATCGCAATATGATTGACATGTAAGAAACAAACAGATTCATTTCTGAAAAGAATTGAGAAACAAAATAGAATGAGAATTCATTAAATTATTACTACTATAAGTATTACTAATTGTAGATAAATATACAATAATATTGCAATAAATTTACGAGTATCATTATCAATAATACCATAGGTAGTATGTTGAGTCAAGTTGAATCATAAGTTGAAAATTGTATGACTATTCAGAATCTGGATCATCTAATTGCCTGTATTATGCATTGATCGATTATCATGATTGTGACCAATGGATTTTAACTATTTATGATTTGCATCCGAGTTCATTTTTCACATAAAATACTGAAACTTTGTGATAAGTTTCGACCTACCTTTGATCATTATCTTGACAGTAATCAAATGATTCACAATTGAAATCATTCGATTGCGCACATCTTTTAGCACAATCACCAATTGGTACATCAGATATGGTTGAGACGGCATCCAGAACTAGATTTTTTCCAGGATACTCATGGAATAGATTGATAAATGATTCTAAATTGAAATTGAGGAACAAAATTAGTTGAAGAAATACAAAATGATGAGATAATGAATTTACTTTGATATATGTCACATCCATCTGCATGGCTTGTTTTGTCTTCGAATGTGTCGTTTAGTGAACTCGATGTTTCTCCACTCAGAATACATTCCTTATTCTGATTGATACAATATGAAAGTGTATTACAATCATCATCATTCAAACAAGCCATGAAACATTCGTTTAGAGTACTTTTCTCAATCTTGAATTGTCCTTCATTGAAATGGCGATCAGTTTTAATGATCGGAAAATCTTCACCTCTTAAAGGTCTAAAGGAACCCCGTCTATGTAATTCTTGGGAAATGTCACCAATCTCTTCAGGTCCATTCACAATGAACAGATCTTCGAATCCACCTTCTTGGAGCTTATTCCTTATCTGTTGTAATACATGTGGCATCGGCGATAAATAATTTTTGCTAACCAATGGCTTAACATAAGCCTCTGACCCTCTATAATAAAATTTACATTTATCATCGTATATTAATTCGGCAGTATCCCAAAAAAGATCTTCTTTTGTAAAAATTGAACAGTCATAATCTGTACAGAAACTAAAATCAATACAATTTCGAGTTGAACTGCACAGTCGTTCACAGTCCTCGACTTTAAATATTTTTAAAGTATTTAAAGGATGCCTAATTTTACGTTCATCAAAATGACGATAAACATCAATGAAGTGCACTGAATCAAACAGCTTAACAGTAACATATACATTAGAATCAACTCCCTGTGCATGAATTTCACCAATGCGTGTTATTGGAATGAATGAAGCCAAGAATTTTTCAGTGGATTCCTTGACTGTTTCCATATTGTATTCAGTCATCAAAGGATTTGAAAAGAAGAGTTGAAACCAAGTATAGCTTCCAGGTTCTTCATAACAACCAGAAACATCGAATCGATCTTCGTAATCAATGTAAGTGTCTTCGTAATTAATTATGGTAACTTCCACTTGAGTTGGAACATCAGCGTTATTATAATGATAACTATCATCGAATCGATTTGGGTTGAATATGACTTTACTTGGAACAGAATTACTGGTATTTTGAGTATAATAATAGTCCACAATGGCATCAACTCCATTTTTGAAGAGGTCATCTGCTCTGTACTCTTCCACTCGAAAAGGTCCTAAAGGTATATCACCAATAAAAGTTGGTGCATGAGCTGAATCTGGTTTCATTACCAGATAGTACAATAGATTGAAACCACGATATAAATTAAGTGGCCAAGCAGTGACCAGTGTAACAGCAGCAGAATAATCTGATGTTACATAATGGCATCGACCAGTGTGTTCATCAACTTGAAATCTTCCTAAAGGAGGAGGTAATTCAATGAAACGAACAGAAGTACCATTTTCTTGGATTTCGTACGAAATAACATCGCCTCGTTTCATTACCCGAGCAGTCGATTTGATAGGGTCACGGTCAGAATAGGTTATTATCGCTTCCATGTCCATAGTAAACTTATTAACTTGACTAAAATCTGGTAATAGAGTAGATGGACGAGTACCTTTACGAGCACATCCATAACCCAATGGATAAGGAATGGGATCATCTGATGATATGACAAGTGGTTTGAACATGTAAAAGTTGTATACATATTTTGAATCAGAATCAAATTGCTTTTTTACTTTTCGAGTCTCATTTATTGAAATGACCTCCTGAGTGTCAACCCATTTAGGATAATACAACGAGAAACGATAAGGTAATGAAGTCTTAGCATCAAAGTAAAAGTCAATGTAAGGTCCTCTAGGATTAGTACAATAAAACCAATGATTAACACTACGACCATCAATCAGTTCGGATCCTGTGAATGAAGCTTTATCACTTATACTGTTGGCATAAATCATCAATCCTGTTGGTCCCAAATGAACCAAATCCTTGCACATCTCTGAACTAGCGACAATATCTTTTGGTTCAAACCAATCTTTGATCGATTCAATCTTCTCATTCTGGGTTAAGTCTAATCTTGTACATGTATTTTCTCGAACGCCAATCTTTTCCTCTGTTGAATGATAATAATAACGTCGATTCATTTTATCTTGAATGGTTGCTTCCAAGTCAATAAAGCCAACTTTATTTTGTAGGTCATAATAATCATGGACCAAATTGTTTCGAGTTGGATTAATGACTTCAACAGAAGCATGATAACCAGTTTGTTTATCAATCAAACTGAGAACATTTGGAACTTTTAATTCACCAACTTTACCCCTTTCAGGGCATTTGAAAGTATCACAAAGAATTGAGTTTATTGAGTAAAGAAAACAAAGAAAAAAAGAAAAGTGGAGAAAATTTTTCATCTTAAACTCTGATAATTGTTTTGATTTTGTACACTTTGATTGTTGATGTTGGGAAAAGGGACTTGAATAAAATTAATCAAACACTTTCAACTCTTATTTGAACAAAAATTTGCAATCAAATAATGGCGTGAAGAAAAAAATATCTGAAAATGTATAAGCGTTTAAAGGGGCGTCAAAAGAGTAAAGTTACGATTGTAAGTTCGAATGGCATTTTTGTTCGAGGTGAAAATGTGTGAGCGTCAGATGACTGATTTACTTTAATTTTAACAATGGAGGTGTGAAGTTGCAAAGATTACCGAAGCCAACAATCTTGATTTTACCTGAAAGTTGCGATGATAAGTCTTGTCGATGATTGCTCATCTTTTATCCTTTAAAATAGCTCATTTTTTGTTTGTAATAAGAAATTCATTTTGAGCAGATCAAAATCAATTTCGAACGTGATCTGGGCATTTGCACTGATTCAATGTTAAAGAAACTAAGTGGAATTGGATGTGTCCCAAGCATTGAAAAACTTTTCCTTTAGTAAATCGATAGACTATCGATAGAGTAAAATTAAATGTTCATGCATAAAAAGTTTCCGCGCTCTTAATTGACCAGTTCGCGAGATTTCATTTGAGATTTATTTATTATAATGCATTCTGAAGAAAATGTAAATTATCAATTTTTTTTGCTTGAAAGTTTTATTTTAATTGCTACTCACTGATTAATAGCATGGAATACAATTTTATTTATCTTGGGATCAACATGAGTCACACACATATTCGTGCGAATCCTTTCCTCAAAGAACAAGGGGCTTTCTATCTTGCGAGTTGTTAATATCACTGAGCAGCTCGTACTATGAAAGGTAATTAAAATCCACATCGGTAACCATCAAGTGACTTGAAAGTGAATAGCTTGTCGCTAACTCAGATCATTTTGATTACAAATCTATAATAGAAAGTCCAAGCAGAATTGTGTTAAGTGGTTATCATCCAACTTCGAGTCCAGACAAAGAGATTCTCATTCTTTATATTGATATCTATTCTATTCAAAATGTACTTGCAAATGCTAGTACATTTAGATGATGTGCACATTGAAATGAGATTTCTCAAGATCTAGTTTAAAATAAGGTTCAAGAAAGTATTATTCAATAAAGATTGTCGGGAGAAAATATTGATTCAGATATTTTTCATTTTTAAATGCACTTTTCCAAATAAAAACATGAATTTATACTAAAACTCATTGTTTCCCCTGGATTAGCCTCCAACTGGAATTGGATGTCCACATTACTTATCTGGAAATAAACGATTTCCAAAGTTGCAAGTTTCTCACCTGCACCTCACCATGGATGAACGAATCCAAGGTTTAAATACGTCTCGATCACTCAGTGAGGTTAGTATTTATCAAACAATGATTAGTGTTACATGTTATTTATATTAGTGCAATAGTATTGAACTAAATCATGAATATCTCATAGTGGGAACAAGATCCAACATTGAAATCGGGTCTAATCAATGTTCAGTGAATTAACTATGAAACTTATCGTCGATTGATCTTTCATTTCAAAGATGAAATTTGTAAATGTTGAGTTCCCAATACTCTTATTTGTCATTTGTCATTAATTCATTTTGATTTCAAAATGTTCTCCATTCTGTTGTTTAATAAGTTGTCCATGCACCCTTTAATATTTGTTGCATGTTAAAGAAATCTTTTGCCATCTCTTATTAGTGGTAAATAAAATCCTAATTAATCAAACAGTGACTTTAAGTTTTATTTTTCATCAATGATAACTGTTTCGTGCATCGAAATGCATGAATTATGTTTATGTGAATAAATATTAATAAATTGCCCAATGTATAAAAAGCCTAAGAATGTATTTTTTAAACACCAAATGAACTACAAAACTTGATGAGCTGAATTTTAAGATTAGGCCTGCACATTCACTTGAGCTCAATGTTATTGAAAATTAAGGTGGATGCTTTGGGTGGGTGGTTATTGATAGAATCTACTAACGATACGATAAAATATCGAATATCTTTATGTAATTGATCCATCCCTTCGACTTATTTAGTTTCCCGAGTTGGTTTCATTGGAACAGTCATTTTCAACTTTGCTTTTTTAACAAATCCTTCCTTAGGAGTGAATTTAAATCCAGTGAATCCAGCAGCAAACGCCAATATAAATGCTATTGTCCCCAATCCGATAGCTAAAGAGAAGTCATTTGATTTCGTTGATGTTTTTGTTAATGATTCAGTTGTATTAGTTTGTATCGGTGGATCAGCTTCACTCTTTCCTGTAATTTTCTTATGGTTGATGTAAATTGAACAAATTTTGGTTTTGCTTTTTGACTCTTCAAACAGATGAGGTTGAATGTTACTTGGTTTTAAATTGGTCAGTGTACAACTCGACAATGAAGCGCTTCTACCCGAAATTTGATTATAATCAATTGTTTCACAAAACTCGAGAGTAAAACAATTGGGATCTGAATTGCATTTGGAAGCACAGTGTTCTAGTGATAGATGGTCAAAGGTTGCAACAATTGATTCTTTCATATCATCTTTCAATGCAAGTCCAACTTTATGCTCATAATCAAGTTCAGACTTTTCTGTAAAAGTAAGAAGATTGTTTAATTAGTAAATATTGACCAGACTTTGAGCAAAGATTAGATTAAATAAATGGTTTTTACTTGAATAATGGGAACATCCAGCTTCAGCAAACTTCCAGTTTGTTATATTTATTTCACGAGTTTTATCTATCACAATGTGATTAACATGTAAGAGACAAATAGATTGATTCCTGGATGGAATATGGATGAAAATAACAAAAAAGAAACTCATTAATATATACTTCAAAATCGTATTTAGATAAGTAGAACTGCAAATAAAATTAATAATTAATCTTTCTTTGATTTGTTTTACAGAAAATAGCCGTTGAATATGTCTTTATATTAGGCCGTCAGTGCCTAAATATTTATATTAGGCCGTCAGTGCCTAAATATAATATATAATTCACTTTTGGCAGATAAGGTGACTGAAAGATAAATAGTTTGCCTTTATGCTGTATTGAAAAAATATAAATCGCAGATAAAAATTGCTTTGTTAAATTTTGGATTCAATTTTTTGATTAAATCAATTGTTATCTACAAATTGTATTTTCAATCCAATTAATGTCATTTTAATTGTTAATACAAGTGATAACAAGTGATATTGAGAGTAGATTAATCAAGATTAGAAAAATCAATTAATATTCAAGCTATTGGGTGGGAAATCAAGTAACTATGGTATTCACCAAGTATAAATTATTATGCGCAAATTTCAAAGCAATTTGCTGTTTTTCAATAATTTTTAATGATGTTGCGCATGACCCCAACAAAATCGGCCTAATATTATTTTGCGTAAGCTAAATTTCTCTTTCTCTGGTCATAATTTTAAATAGTTTGAGCTTGTATTAATCAAAAATGAGTTTTGTATCAGTTTGAAGTTCAGTCTCTTTTAAAATCCAATGCTTTGAATAACCGTCAATATTTAAATAAAGTTCATCAACAGCAAAAGCGGCAAAATAGTCAGTTCAACTTACCGGTTATTATTGTTTTCACAGTAATCGAACGATTCACAATTGAATGATTCTGATTGAGCACATGTGCTAGCGCAATCACCAATTGGTACATCAGGTATGGTTGAGACGGCATCCAGAACTAGATTTTTTCCAGGATACTCATGGAATAAATTGATAAATGATTCTGGATTGAAATTGAGCAACAAAATTAATTCAAGAAATACAAATTAATGGGATAATGAATTTACTTTGATATATGTCACATCCATCTGCATGGCTTGTTTTGTCTTCGAATGTGTCGTTTAGTGAACTCGATGTTTCTCCACTCAGAATGCATTCCTTATTCTGGTTAACACAATATGAAAGTGTGTTACAATCATCATCATTCAAACAAGCTATGAAACATTCGTTAAGAGTACTTTTCTCAATCTTGAATTGTCCTTCATTGAAATGGCGATCAGTTCTAATGATCGGAAAATCTTCACCTCTTAAAGGTTTAAAGGAACCCCGTCTATGTAATTCTTGGGAAATATCACCAATCTCTTCAGGTCCATTCACAATGAATAGATCTTCAGCTGATAGCCCAAGCAAACGAAAGTTGCCTGATGAGACTTTATTCCTTATCTGTTGTAGTACGTGTGATATGGCTGACAGATAATTTTTATTCACTAATGGAATAAGATCAAATTGATACTTCGACCGAGAATAAGAAATACATCCTTCTGTGTAGTGGAATGAAGTTGAGTATTGAGAGCTACGAGTACTTTGATATATTGAACAATCATAATCGTCACAATAGCTGAAATCAAAACACTTTTCAGTTGCACTACAGAGCTGTTCACAGTCTTCGACTTTAAATCTTTTAACAATATATGCAGGATTGTTAATTTTATATGTATTGTGAAGAAGATAACCCTTAATTAAATTTACACGATCATAAAGCTTAACAGTAACATACACATTAAAATCAACTTGTTGTGCATGAATTTCACCAATGCGAGTTACTGGAATGAATGAAGTCAAGTATTCTTCTGTCGATTGCCTGATTGCTTCCAAATTGAATTCGCTCAACGAAGGATTTGAAAAGAGAAGTTGAAACCAAGTATAGCTTCCAGGTTCTTCATAACAACCGGAAACATCGAATCGATCTTCGTAATCAATGTAAACTTCTTTGTAATTAATTATGGTTACTTCAACTTGAGTTTCATAAGAATAATAATCGCTTGGATCCTCAGTGAATATGACTTTACTCGGAACAGAGTTACTTGTATTTTGAGTATAATAATAGTCAATAATGGCAGCAATACCATTTCTGAAGAAGTTAGTTGCTTTGTATTCTTCCACCCGAAAAGGTCCTAAAGGTATATCACCAATGAAAGTGAGTGCTTGATCTTTAGGTGGTTTCATTAGCAGATAATAAAATAGATTGAAGACTTGATTTTTATCGGAAGGCCAACGGGTTACTAGTGTAACATCAAATGGATAAGCTGTTGTTGAATGACTACATTGACCAGTGTGTTCATCAACTTGAAATCTTCCTAAAGGAGGAGGTAATTCAATGAAACGAACAGAAGTACCATTTTCTTGGATTTCGTACGAAATAACATCACCTCGTTTCATTACCCGAGCAGTTGATTTGATAGGGTCATGGTGTGGATAGGTGATTATTGCTTCCATGTCCAAATTAAAATTATTAACTTGACTGAAATTTGGTAATGGAGTAGATGGACGAGTGCCTTTACGCGCACATCCATAACCCAATGGATAAGGAATGGGATCATCTGATGATATGACAAGTGGTTTGAACATGTAAAAGTTATAAACGTATTTTGAATCGGAATCAACTTGCTTTTTAACTGTTTGAGTCTCATTTATTGAAATCGCCTCCTGAGTTTCGATCCATTTAGGATAATACAACGAGAACCGATAAGGTAGTGAAGTCTTAACATCAAAGTAAAAGTCAATGTAAGGTCCATTAGGATTGCTACAATAAAACCAGTGATTAACAGTACGACCTTCAATCAGTTCGGATCCTATGAACGAAGCTTTATCACTTTTACTGTTGGCATAAATCATCAATCCTGTCGGCCCCAAGTGAACCAAATCTTTGAACATCTCTGAAGAAGCGACAATATCTTTTAGTTCGAACCAATCTTTGATCGATTCAATCTTCTCATTCTGGGTTAATTCCAACCTTTTACATATACCTTCTCGAACGGCAATCTTTTCCCCTGTTGAATGATAATAATAACGTCGATAAATTTTACTTTGAATGAATGCTTCCAAGTCAATAAAGCCAACTTTATTTTGTAGATCATAATAATCATGGACCAAATTGTTTCGAGTTGGATTAATTACTTCAACAGAAGCATGATAACCATTTTGTTTATCAATCAAGCTGAGAACATTTGGAACTTTCAATTTACCAACTTTACCCCTTTCCGGGCATTTGAAATTATCACAAAGAATTGAGTTTATTGAGTAAAGAAAACAGAGAAAAAAAGAAAAGTGGAGAAAATTTTTCATCTTAAACTTTGATTGCTGATGTTAAAAGTGACTTGAATGAAATTAATCAAACACTTTCGAATCTATTTAAAACAAAAATTTGCAATCAAATAATGGCGTGAAGAAAATTATATCTGAAAATGCATCAGCATTCCAAGGGGCGTCAAAAGATTAACTTACAATTGTAAGTTCGAATGGTATTTTTGTTCGAGGTGAAAATGTGTGAAAGTCAGATGACTGATTCACTTTGATTTTAACAATGGAGGCGTGAAATTCAAGTCATTACTAAAACCAACAATCGCCGGTTTCGCGTTTTCGCCCCAGGCTTAGATAGCTTGTTAGTAGTAAAGGTTGACTATTGTGTTAAAAAGGCGGAGCCTATTCCCCACTCCTGTAAGGAGAGAGCAAACATTGGATGCCATCTTCATTGTAGAGTACTTATCTACTTGCTCTTGGTCATGAATTGGAGTTTAACTTACAAGGGAAGTTACCCAAGTGCCAATCGGATATTTTGATGTTTGATGGCTCATTCGATAGATCTAAAGGTGTAGATGATTGAGTTGTTGGGTTTTGCCTGCAAATTGGGTGGTTCATAAGATATTTGGGTTTAAAATTTGCCAACTTTGTTTATAATAAAAATTATAATTAGGTTAAAATGTGTGCTGAGGTTGCGCAGTGGTTCTACACCTCCATCTACATCTACACCTTTAGCCCTATCGAATGAGCCATCAAACATCAAAATCCTTGAGCGGCACTTGAGTGACGAATCCAGGGAGAGGGAAAGAGGGTTTCCAGATGACTTAATCCTGGGTAAGCAATTCCTCACTGTGTAGTCGCCCCAACCCAGGACTTGGCGGGATTCGAACGCTAACCCCAAGACGCAAGACACAACATATGAAAATTAGCAGTCTTAACGCATACGCTGACCAAAAGGCCACCATAAGGTTTAAAAATGAATAGCTCCAT